ATGAATATTGTTCAGATGGGGCAGAAGAGAAATTTCTCCAAATGTGTGGAGAATGTAATGGCTTACATTGCAATCAAAAATGCTTGGTTAGAGATTAGGGAAAAACTTTCTCATCTTTAGCACTAAAATAGATTTTGTAGGGTGACTGTGGGACCATGATGTGTACAGAGAGCCACTCACACAGTTAAATGATTCTGCAGAGTCACTGAAGAACCAAATGTGTGGCCTCTTCATGTCCTACCAGCTCTTGTTTTACGTATTATGTTTTCTCCTTACCTTCAAATTAAATTTCATATTTGAACTACATGAATGCTGGAGGAGCTTGGTCTCTTGAAGGCAAAATCCACCAGCACACAGTTTCCATTCTGTAAAATGTTTAGGTAGAGTGTAAATTCCATCAAATACTGTGTGTAAAATGAAGTGTCTCCTCTGAACTTTAAGTGTGGAACGTAACATGGCATCTCCTTGCACCTCTTAAGGAGATATTGAGAAAACAGCCTGAATCAGGGTTTGTTTTAAAGTTCAATGACTATTTACATCTTAGAACCCATCTCTTGTTTATCTACAGATAATAAATGTAAGGGTAACTTACATATAAGAAGAAATGCTTCTTAAGCTCTTTTAAAACTGCCCTCTCTCTGTGATAAGGCTGAGTATTACACCATTCCAACCTTTGGAATCCCACTCCAGGGAAAATCAGGTTCCAGCTAATGCTTCTTGCTTTAAGAATTGGTAGAGGAGTGCCCAGGGCCCTCATAGCTGCTGTTAGCTGTTAACTAAAAGACATCAAATCACATGAGTCCCAGCATCAGTACTGTTGCAACTCCCTTCACATAGTTCAGTAGCACCCGTTTTAAAGTTCTCAGAGAAATTCCATAAAAAATTGCAGTTCTAAAAATTTGCAATAAATCTGAGTCTGTCCTTGAAGAGGGCACTGTGATCACTGGGTGAGGCCTCACCCACTGCTTCTTTAAAGCAGGAGCATAATGCCAGACAGGTTTCTTGGACTGAACAGGTACAGAAGATCTCTTTCCTTGAAGCATTTAATAGTTACAGTGACAAATTCAACTATCCATTTTTTCCCCAGACTCTATAAAGCTTTATTTTAGATTAAACTCCCAATATTGTTCTGTAAGGTCAAACAAACTTTTCTGCTTGTTAGTCCTTGCTGAGCTGAGTTGTGGGCAATATGTATATCTGTGAAAACACCCGAGTTTTAAGAGCATTGTTTGTCAGTATGTTCAGCTCTGAGGGTACAGTCTGATGGCTACAGGCACAGTTGGTTTGTCCTTCCCCATGTTAATTTGGGAGGAACCCAAATGCAGATGGCTGATGACCTGCTAATGTCAGACTGGTGACTTACAGGCTGTTCAGGAAAGGGAGGGGGAAAGTTAGTCTGGTGTCACTTGGAAAATGTCCCTTAAGCTACACAATACACTACAAAACTGTTGGTAATTCAGCTACCTGAGGAAAATTCTTCCACCTTTTTTTAGAGGGACTTTACATATGAAAAGTAGTTCTGTGGCCCCTTCAGAAGAAATAAGATTTCTGGATAGTTACAGGGAGCTGTACATTACAGTTTTTGCTAGTTTTTTAGACTTCTACACGTATTCTGTGCTTTTAGTACTTCTTGTTGTGCCTGTGTCTTACCAGCTTTATCCTAGAATTTGGAATTTCCTCTTGATTTTCCTTTATTGCATTGCCTTCTGCTGGTAGTCCTAAAAATTTCCAAACATTCCAATTGAGCACAAGGTGCTCACAGCATCTGTTCTTAATGTTATTCTCAGACTGTGTAAGCACATAAAGTAAGTTACGCTTGCAATAGATTGATAAACGAGTATTTTAATACCTTGCAGAGGGGTAACTCTGTATGGACAAACTTGTGTTTTTTCATTTGATGGTTGGGTTTTTTTCAGTGACTTGTGTGCTGGACTGATCGGGGGCCTGGGAGTGACACCCAGTGGGAACATCGGCGCCAACGGAGTGGCCATTTTTGAGTCGGTAAGTTTTGTTATCCAAGGGGGAGCAGGAATAACTGCTTTGTCTCCACTTGGGAATCTAAAACCTCTCCATACTATACAGTGTGACTGACATTTAACAAAGTTCTGCATAAAACTGGTTTTTACTGTGGAGCTGGTGAGGCTTTACCCAGAGAGGCTGGGTGAAGTGTGTAAGTTTTTTGCACGTCCTTTTTCTTGACCAACATTCTATTTTCCCTCTTTTTCATAAGATAAATACCCTCTATGAAACAGAACCAGAGGGGCACAATTTAGAGGTATTAGGTGACCTAGTTCTGCCATTCTGATGCCTTTGAACTAAATTGTTTTGGTCTTTGGTATCTCCATATTGCTGCAAAGTAACTCCCATTTTAATATACGTGAGGATTTATGGTTCAGGTTTCTTGCACACACTTGGACTGCCTAGGACATTTTAATCAGCATATTGACATCCCAACTGATAGGTTTGCTTTTATTTCTAGGTTCATGGAACAGCACCAGACATTGCAGGCAAAGACATGGCAAATCCAACTGCCCTCCTCCTGAGTGCTGTGATGATGCTGCGTCACATGGGACTACACAAACATGCCACAAAAATAGAGTCAGCTTGCTTTGATACCATTAAAGATGGAAAGGTAATAGGAGGGGGTGCAAATAAATGCACTAAATATGATATAATATGATTTTAGTGAAGTAAAATAATATTATATCCCAGCAAAAATTAACTCAGAACATGACCACGAGAAGGGTGGCTGACCTGCTGTGCTGGCCTGTTGCATGAGCAGTGCCACTGTCCTTCTCTGGCAGTAATTATATTATCTTTGGTGGTATTAAGCCTGCCCTTCTCAGTAATTAGGGACGGGCTCTAGCATTCCTGGTGTCTCAGTAATGCTCATCTCACATTTCTACAGCTTTGTGAACTCTAAAAGCTTGAACTGGATATCTGTTTTTCAGGGAGGGGATTAGAGGTTTAAGTAACTAGTAGCATTTCACTTATAAAGTTTATAAAACATACAATGCATATATATTTAAATCTGGATCCTGAAGCAAAGGACACTCATTTGCCTTTCACAGGCCTTAATCAGCCACTTAGTTTATAGCATTCCAGTCCTGACTGTAATACTTCTGTTCCTATTTTTTCAGCTCAGTTATTTTCTTTTTTCTTCCTTACTGCTTTCACTCCTTTTTGAACTACAGTTTTTATCCAGTATTTACCTTTTCCCTTGAGATGATACAGGATTTCCCTTTGGCAGTAGGTGTCTCCAGATTTAAGACTCGAATAGGGTATTTGGGGCTGAGGAAGGACTTATGCTCTGAAACTTCACTTGAGTTTGTGCTCTTACCATTATTGGTTCACTGCTCTGCTTTGATGTCCATCTTTTCAAAACAAAGTTGGAAAGATCCTGGAGCTGGCAGTTAAGGAGGATGAGCAGTTAGCCATGCTGGTTCAGTTACCTTAGCAGGACCACAAGAAGCTGCTTGGTAATTAAAATAACAAGCATGCTGAAACCAAAAGTTGTCATCACTTTGCAAGTGGTCTGTTTGCAGCTACCTTACTGTGTTAAAAAACACCTGAACTTACAAGTGAATAAAGAGGTGCTCCTGTAAAGTTCCCATTTACTGCTCTGGAAGTGGAATCCTCCATCTGCAGGTCAGTAATTCTATGGAAGATAACACAGTGCAAGTTTTGTGACATGGCTAGTTGTTCTCCAGTTACTTAAAACATTATGATTATATGCTCACAATGGAGAGAATCTTTTTATTTGAATTTTAATGCAGTTAAAATTACAAGGTCCTACAACAGTAACCTTGATGGCTTCTCATGCTGCTATTCCTCCCTTCCCTCAATCATTAAATTAAGAGACGTGTGTGTCATGTAAGGGGGAAACTAATGATTTTAAATTATCTCCCAGACTGCTTTAATCTAGCTCGGTTAGACCATCCATGTTGCCCACTTTTTATTTTACTCTCTTAAAGCTCCCAGACAGGAGTTGTACGTGATGACAAAGCTGTTTAACTCTACATTTTCCGTCTCTTAACTAAACTAAGAAAACTTAAAGAATTGTTATCATGTAGCATTAAGAGTTATGTGTGCCTTTTCTGTGTGGGTTTCCTTCAAACAAACAAAACAAAGCAAACAAAAAACCCACCCTTATTAATTACTCTCAATTAGTGCTGAGCCTTCATATATGAATTTTACTTCCAAAGGACAAACTTCTTACTGAAAGCCTAAATACTTAACAGTTAATTGCACTATTATGGAGCCAAAGGACTTTGTAGAGCTTTGACCAAACACACTTTCTTCCTGCAGTTAAGATAAAATCACGTTCAAATTGGATAACGTTAAAGGACTTCATGTTGATCCTCCAGTTCCTGTGCCTGTGCCAGTCCTTACTGCTGAATTCTGTGTGGGCTGCAGAACTCCTCACACGCCCCGTGTTCCTTCTCACCCCTATTTCCTGTCCATGCACAACATATCAGAACGTGTAGAACCGTTCAGGGACAGGACTATCCCCGTGAAACATGTCAGTAATACTGTTTTTTCTTTCTTTCAGGTCTTGACAAAGGACTTGGGGGGCAATGCCAAGTGCTCGGAGTTCACAGACGAGATCTGCCGCAGGGTACGGGACAAGGACTAAACTTGCCTCACCCCGGCCCCTGGAGGACGTGTCACACACAGTACATTATGTGTAACTTGATACCCACATGCAGATAGTTTGCTTATCTCTTGAGAGCAAACTTTTTAGTTAAGGCCTCTCCATTAATAAATTTAGTCCAAATGGCTACAAACGATGCTTGTGCCTGCTTTCAGTGGACTTTTCCAAGTGCTTTGTCTTATTTATTTTTTTTTTCTATCTGGTGAACATTTTTATGTAAGTGAATTCCTTTATTGGCACTGTAACTGTCTACCATTTTCCATTTCAGTTAGAGGGTTTTACTTTCCACAAAGAAAAATTATGCAACTATAAACCAGTAACAGAATTAGTGAAATGTAAAAGCACCTTAATGGTTAAAACCTGCTTTATTGGTCTTGCTGAAGTTGAAAAGGTTTTCAGCCTAACAGTAGCACAAGATGACCTTCTGAAACAGAAACGGGTATAAAATAACTTAAAATAGCAATTTCATGTTAAAAGCAATGAGAAAACCACATTAGATACTCTGGTGATGAAATACAGCCCTGCCCACCAAAGGCATGAATAAAGAAGTACAAAATTCTAGAGATTTAATCTATTTGTGTACTTTAAAAAAGCCCACAACCATTAACTAGCAAAGGGTGAGAATTAATGCTGAAGCAAAGTTATTTCTCAAATCTAGACACCACAATAATTCTTACAAGTTTTCCCTCTCTGAAATACCCTTTCCAACGGAGTTCTAATGAGGGTAAATGATATAAAATTACCTCTGCCATATATTGTGAAAGTATTAACTTTGCAGATTTATCCTAGATATTTCATGACTTCTGCTGGAATGCTCTTTGTGTTGTAGCTTTCTGCATAGTCTGTTCAGTGTGTTCTACTGTATTGACTGGTAATTTTATCCAAAAGTGAATGTAAGGGACTGGTCCTAAAGGGATTAAGACAGATCAGCTGTTTGGCTCTGGTGCCTATGTTCCAGAAATACATTTCATCCCTATTCAAGGGGATCCAAGACTTATTTTTTTTCCTTGCTTTCTGAGCTTAATAGGTGCAAAAGCAACTCTTTTCCCTCCCTCCTTCATCACGTGCAGATGGTCATACGAGTCATTCTGACCTGTATGTCCAAAGGTATCTTCCATCAGTGCCCCCAACGAGAAAATGTGTATTTTAAAACTCATTAGTATAGCACAGGATTATCCCTACTGCCAGAACCAGGCTTCTTAAAGCTTAATTCTATTAATAGAAAGTCACTAAGTGGAGTAATATCTATTAAGACTGTTTTAGGCTGGTTGTTTCAAAGGTGAAATCGTTTCTGAGTAACGACTTCTCGTGTGGCTCTACAAAGTGAGCATCCCAGCTTTTTTATACAGTCTAACAACATGTTGGAGGAGCTTTATTCCTCAGGCACTCTGCTTTTGGTGAATAGGGCAACGTTTCTTTCCGTGTCTTACAAGCTGCTGCTTCCTTGTTTCCTTCAGATTCATATTGTTAAAGAACCTCTGAATGACCACTGCGCACAAAATGGGGAAGAATAAACTTTTCAAAGTCCTCTTGCTTGTTTTGTTTTTATAATCCTAGGCTGCTGCCTTGTCTTGTGTGTTGAGCTGGTTATTGGTACTTGCAGCAAATCTTAAGTCTACAAGATGAGACTGGCAGTGGAACTTCCATGGAAACAGTCTCCTGTTCCACATCACGTTTTCCTCTCGGGAACAGTGGCTGTAGCTGCCTGCCAAGGGTCACTCACAGCACCCCCCTGACACAACTGTGCCAAGCATGTCCTCCACGGAACATGATTTATTTTTCATAGGGGTAAGAAGAAATGCAGCTCCAGAATTAGTACAATGGGAGTGTTGGCACGTGCAGATCCACGCCAACAAACACTGCTTAAAGAAAAGCGCTGTAAACAATCTGAGAGAAGTGTCTGTTCTAAACAGCACTCCCAGGGGACAGCTCCTGTATTTACTGCTTTATGTCTTCCAGTCCTGGGGAGCTATTCCCCCAACTGCTTTGATTATCTGGTTTTAGGAGAAATAGTAATGCTTATTCCAACACGGACTTAGAAATGAGCTGCTGTTTTCACAGAGGCCACTACAGAAATGGAGGAGAAGCCTTCAGGTTCTGAAATGTGTTAGTGAACAACAAGAAACTCCTGTGTAGGAGGAGAAAAGAAATTCAGCCCTTTTGATTTATTTTTTTTTTAAATAATTCTCACTGGAGTGGTCTGGCAGTTTTATTGAGCAGTACTGCCAACTACCAAAATGTATCCTGAGCTATGGGCAATGGCCTGTGGAACAACAGGGAAAAAGGAAAATAGGAAAATCACTATATAAAAGAATGGTTTCTCAGTCTAGAGGAATTAATTAGTTATACCCAGTTTATACAACACAGAGGGATGTTTTAATCATTTAGGTCATAAAGTAAAAATGGTATTAGAAAATGGACACACTGTAGATGCTTCTGTAAAAAGGGGACAAATGATCAGGTGAGTATCAGGAACAACTAAACTGACACAGCAGCTTTAGTGGTTTGGTTCAATAGACTACAGACCCAAAAAAGGCATAAATCTCCATTAATGCTTTTGATTAGAAAATACTTTCTTTTGCTCACAGATCTTTCTTAATGCTTGGATGAAAGACTTCCTACTCTTCATAGAAGGAGTCTACTTCATTCCTGTATTTCTCGAGCACCGTGAGCCGTTTCAGCTTCATTGTTGGACCTTAAAACAGAGAGAGAGTCACAATACCAGAAATGGGAACAGAAATTCTTACCCACTTGGAGCTTTGGTGCCTGAGTTTTTTATTGAAGAGCCTGCTGGAAGCACATACCCCAATTTGAGTGTAGATAAATGCTAAAAGTGAGAAGCCAGTGTTGTATGTAAGGCTCCATGTAAGCATGAGAACCTCAAAGGGAGCTGCAGATAAGAGGGTTATAACTGACTACTACTTTTTTTCATTAAAAATAAAGAGTGATGGTTTTGAAAGCTTTTAGACAATTCCAAGTTCATTCAGAGAGCCTGGTGATGTGCTTCAGGCTCCATTATCAGGCTTTCACTGTCTTGCTTCTCTTTTTTTTTAAATGAGAAACTTGTAGTATTATTACTGGAAGTTATTAATACTGCCCAAGGAATTAACCAAAACTGACTGCTTAATTACCCAAAGCAATCTGAAATTTAACTACAAGAGCTGTACTTGCAAATGTGCACACAGCTAAAACTCCCATTTTTATATTCTTTACCACAGACTGCAGAGCGTTCTGTCCCTTCCCTCTAGTGGCTGTACCCAGAACCTGGCATGCAAAACTGTACCTCAGTATAAAGCAGTCAATCTTACCTAGTTCTCCCCCAGAAATGGAGAAATCCCTTGGCAGGACTATCCATTTTTGAATACAGTGGACCCTGTTGGTGGCGTTCCTGTTGACTCTGTTGATTCCCTCCTGGATGGCCCCGTAGATCGCCCGGTCTCTGGTGGCTACAATCTCAGACACCTTGGTGGCTTTACTGCCACTCTTCTGGCAGAAGTCTCTGGCTTGCTCAGTGAGAATGTCAGTGGGATCAGATGTGTCTGGGTCCAGCTCACTCTAAAATATCAAATGAAGTGAATCACCAAATGCTCCCTCTTAAAGGCATTAAAGGTTCCCTAACTGAGTCCTCCCTGACTGAGAAGGCTCAGCACAAACACACAAACACTCTGTAAGCATTAAAAGGCAGGAACACCTACAGATGGTGGTGCTTTTCTTTCCTCTTGGCTACCAAATGCAAATGTTTTTGGCTTAAACGTACATGAACAGACTTGAAATGTGTGAATGAATCAGGCAACAGAGTCCATCTACAGACCTGGAATTTCTACCATATTTTCCAAATGACTCCATCGATACAGGGAAACATTTAGCTCATCACTAAATGGAATTACTATGGTGTAAACAGCTTGAGATAGAAGCATTCTTTTAAGTTAGACTTCTTAAATTAGCATTTCTATTGTGCCTGGAGATAGGGAGTATCAGTCACAGAGGTAAACAACTTGAAAAAACCTCAGTGTCAGTCACTCAAGTATGAACACAGAACACCAAGTGCAAATATTTTAGGAAAACAGTGATTTCTCAATTGAAGAGGATTGTATACCATAGAAAGGCCATTAATTATTTTGTTCTACAGTCACCCTTCTTGTGTCATAAAAATAACAAGTTGTAGAGAAATGCTTCTGTTGGGAAGTTTCTGGGTTTGCCTGTATCAGAAACATTTGTTGGCTTTGCTTGTCTGTCAGAATAAAACCTGTTATTGTACAGAGACTTCTCAATCTTGCAGCATTTCTTAATTGAAAAGTCTGCATTTAAATAAAAAATAGCTCTTATTATATACATAGGAGAAACAGCAGTGAATATGTAGATGTTTAGCAGGTCATGTAAGCAGAGGTTCAGACCCAGCAGGATTTAGTTTGTAGTTGCTGTACATTTTCCCCCCTGCCATCATCTCCTATGTAATTTTAGGTCTTTTTTACAAATAGTTCAAAATTATTCTTCTTTTAGGTGCAGGTGTGTAATGTCACCAAAAGCAATATTAAAACTGGTTTACCTTTAGGGTCAGGAACATTGACAAAAACTTCTTTTTATCCCCAATCACCATAGCATTACTAACAATTGGGAGCTCTTTTTTAACAGCATCTTCAATTGGAATTGGAGGCACATTTTCACCTCCAGCTGTAATAATCAAATCTAGGCAAAAAAAGAAAGGCTATTAGTTGAACTCAAATAAATTCCAGGCTAATGTCTGGACTGACCTGCTCTCCTTATTCTGACGTGAAGAATAAGAGAGATTTTTTTTCCCCCAAGATGTTTTCCAAAGACAACAAATCCTACTAATTATCTTCAAAACAAAAATGCTACTATTTTTCAAACGTGCTCAAATTCTCAGATCTCCCTCAGTATAACATATTTGGTCCAGATAATGTTTCACATAATCCAGTAACAGGTTATTCCCAAGGCACTGTTACATAACCTGGAATTTTTCTGTGAGACATCATCTCTTCCAAATTAGCAGAGGATTCACCTTCTGTTTTATCGTTGCTATCTCACCAAAAAGCAAATTCATTGTTAACGTCAGGATTAAAACCAATTCTTAAATCCACCAAGAGGGGTCAGACAAAAATAAGTTACTACTGCAGGAAGGCTCCACAAAAGCAAAAGGAGAGAGGAGTGTGGGGGAGAAGCCAGGAGAGGAAATTTGCAGAGGAAGGAGCAATTCCTGCCCTACTTTTGACATGAGGAGAATGCAATGACAGACTGGAATCTTAATATTCTTAAGGTTTGTAAACAATGGTAGTGATACCTTATTCTGTTGATGAAGGAATGTGTACTTTTATTTGAATACCTTTGTTCTGAAGTATGATATGTATAGTCAGTGAAATTATAACAAATTTGACTATTCTCTAAGTAAATCCCATCTCTTTGCTTTCATTGCATTGATGACTTCTCCCTGTCCTCAAATAACAGTCTTTGCAGCATTTCAAAACATGCTTCAACAAGCAGTGCAGACAAACTTTTCCAGGTCTAACTTTTCCTCTCATTCCACCCTCCTTTTGCCCTAGCCCTGTCTTTGTCTTAGACCCTCTACCAATTTCTGGCCCTTAGTTTCTCACTGTCTGAGTTGTCAGCTTTTTCCCAGCTGATCCAGACAACTATAATAACTGCAACAATTTTTTTCACACCTCTAAAATACCCCCTGTGTGGATTTCTCAGCTGCATCTTTGAGCTCATGAGCCCTAAAACTCATAAGACATGGATAAGCGAAGGAAGAAGTTCCCCTTGTAGTCACTATAAAAAAAAAAAGCTTTTCTATTAGATATTACCTTATTTGGACTTGAATTTAAAACTTTAATGAAACTGGGCATATGGTTATTTTATCCCAGATGGTTTGCTCATCCTGTAATTTAGAGTAATTGCTTTTAGTCCAGCAATCAAGGCAGATGTAAGAGAAACACAAATGTTCAGATGGATTGGTTGTCAACTGCTACACTAAAGGAAAATGAATCAGACAAGAAAGCAAGTTAAACCCAAGATATCTGCATTTGGTGCAGGCTATTAATAGTAGCAACCTAAGTCCTGATTCCTAGCAGGACATGATGCCACCTGTGACAGATTCACTCATCCACCTTATCTCCCTTGTGATTCAGTCTACATTCTGAGATGATACTCTATTCTTAAATCTTTTTCAGTCTCATCTTGCCTGTGATCAATCCCACTCCTTGAATGTGTTTTGGGAAAAAAGCTCCCAAGTAATCAAGTGACCAGTGTGACTCTCATTGACACTTCTGTCAATGTACTGCAGTAACACCTCAGTTCATTGCTTTAGCTTTAACTTTCCCTTCTGCTCTCGAGCTTCAACTATCTGCAAATACATCACCTGAGGCAAGGAACCTACCTCTGACCTACAGCAACAGCTTCCAGAGAACACAGGTGTCCTCTGCTTACTGTCTAAATGTTCTAATGTGCAATTAGGACAATTTAGCAAGATTCAAAGGGAGCCTGGACAGCTTCATGAATCATTCAAATCAAAGAAGGCACATTAGACCCATGTTAGTAGTTTATATTACTAATTGTAATTAATTCTGAGTAAAGGTCTGGGAGATAAAAAGCCTCACTGTATGAACTGAATCATCTCCACCTATTACAGATTGGAGGGAAACCTCCCCTGAACACACAGCACACGCATGGGAAAGTTTATTTTACCTTCCTGTGAGGGCAATGCTGCTGGCAGGAGAGGAAAACACTTCTTTAGTGACCACACCTGCCATTAGACTGAACAGTGCTGAGCAGTTACCACAACAGCGAGCAAGACTTTGCCCATTACCTTTAATTCTTCCAGTGACATACAGAAAGCCATCCTTGTCTAGCTTTCCTAAATCTCCAGAATGCAGCCAACCCTCCTCATCGAAGGCTTCTTTTGTTCTGTCTTCCATGTTTAAATAACCCATGAAAACAGTCCTTCCCCAGAAGCAGATTTCCCCGTTGCCTTCTGTGTCCTTGTCCACCAGTTTCACTCTGCATCCAGGGGCTGGTTTACCACAGCTATCAGAGAAGAGCAGAAACCCCCCCCAGGGAGCACAGAGATATCAAACACAACACTGATAAGGTGGCTTACATCCCAAAGCCCTGAAACTACCAAAACACTGCAAACAACACCGTGCTGAAACTGTTTGACAGTTATGGAATATTAATTCCCTAGGGCAGAGATGCTGGAGTATCTAAGCACTTTTTGACAGTCTGCCTTGCCTGTGCTTCCTGGTTTTTTCCCCCTCTGTATCTTCAGGCATAAAACCACTTTTGTATTTGAGGTCTTGCATTTGAAAGTTATCCTGCCTCAGGCCAGGGCTACGATATAAGTCAGATTTAGGAACTGTTCTGCATGTAATGCTGTAGCTCACTGTCAGTGCTCCTGGCGTGGCAATGTGCTCAGCTTCTGACCTGCAAGTTATTCTGACTCCCAAAGGCACAACAGAGTGACAGTGCACTCAGAAAAAATAAAATAAGCCATAAGCTGGCCTTAGTAAACAGTCTTTTCATAGATATAATGAAACAGGCCATATTAAAAAGATAATAATTAAAAAGGTAGAATTACCTGTGCTGCCTGTAAATATAAGGCCCAGACAGGCAATGTGGGCCTGTGGTCTCACTCATCCCATAGGCCTCATACAGGGTGATGTTCAGACCCAGGAAAAAATACAGTGTTTCTGTGGTGAGAGGAGCAGCCCCACAGAAGTGCTTCTGACAGCAGGAAAACCCCAGAGCACTGCGGATTTTTGCAAGCACGAGGTAGTCTGCCAGCCTTGTCCAGAGCTGCTTTAGGTCACTGTTTTGAGTACAAAACACACAAGTCAGAGCAACCTAGGAAGTTTTCAGAACAAAATCAGGCACAAATTTTGTTTAGAGGTATATCTATCATTTGGTTTTGGGTGCTGACAGAAGTTACATCAGTAAGAATAGGTGACATATTCATCCTTTTTCATTCATCCAGTGTCTTTCATTGCTCCAACTTTCACATCCCCAACTCCTGAGGTATCTGAATACAGCAAATACATAAAGAATCTGTAAAAACATATTGTACACAACACAGCTCTTGTGTTCATGATTCTTCATCACTTCAGTGTGTCTCTGAGAACCTACACCACTAAAATCTGAAATTTGCAGGACCTCTCTGAGAAGCTGAATGATCAGACAAGCAAAGCACTCTCATGGAATGATCTTTTGGAATACCATTTTCCGTAGGCAATTTCACACTTCATTGCACTGTCATGCTTTAAAGAACTTTGGAACAGGAAAGAATTCTGAACTAAGTTAGTATTTGAATTTATACAACATTATTTATCTGTGCAATCTTATGGACAAAAACACCAACGGTCTTCAGAACAGAGATAATGTACTTGGAGCTCAGAGAACTCATGGGGGTTGTCCCTGGGTTTTTGCAGGGAGATGAGATGTTCTTAGCTCTCATATCCCAAACAGTCATGAGCCAGCCTGTCTGGGCTGTCCCCAAAATTTGCCCCCTCTCATACACACCCTCCAGTTCCATGGCCTTTCCTCTCACCAGTGAGTAGCACTTGCACGGCCAGGGGGAGCAGGGACTGCAGCAGGGAACTGTCCCAGCTGAAAACCAACCTGTTCAGTCCCAGCAGAGCCAGGGGCTGTGTCAGTGAGTGTGTGTGCTCAGGCAGGAGGGAGAGACACTTCTGACACTCCCCTGTGTTTAAGATCAGCTATAGTAATTGATAAACACCCCCTCCCTCTTGCATTATATTTGCTTTGTTGCCAGGCCAGATTTTACCCATTTATATTTAGAGTCTCACTGAGGCTTGATAGTTCATTACAAGCAGATTGCTACTTTCAAGTTGCTGGAAGTCTCACTCTCTGTAATACATACCTGCTTGAGCCATTCAGGTTCCTCTCTAAGCTAAGGGACATAGCCCATGACAGCATTTTCTTCTTCACAAATCCTGACTGAGCAGAAGCATCCTTTAATTTCTCCATGATTTTCTCCCATACTCGGGGGACTCCCATGTGAGCTGTTGGCTGCACTTCTTTTAGTGTGTTGATCAAGCTGCCCTGTTATAATCATTAAATAGCTTCAAAACTTTGCAAAAGGCACACAGCAGACCTAAAGAGGTTTGGTGATGCAAAACCTGCATCTTTAGGGGTTGTAGAACATGACTAAATACGTAGGATATAAAGAAGGACTGCTGAACCTTCTTCAGTCAGACATATGCACTGACACGTGTCAGGTCTGACACACTGGGGAGGTTCCTACACCAGAAGGAAAACACACAGGTGGGTTAGTTCCTCCTGCCTCCCTTTCCTCCAAAAATTGCTCAGACTTCTTTTGCTTTCTTTTGCTCCTACTCTTTGGCCTTAAAAGAACCTTATGGACCTGGATTATATATTTCAATTGGAATCTAGAGCACTGGATCACAAATCTAATGGACTTCATAATTCTTACAATAACGGACGCTCAATCTTCATCCTTTACCACTTCTCAAAGATCATATTCTCTCCCTAGGATGCTTTCTAACAGAAAGAAGTGCAATCTTAATTAGATACAATGGAAGACAGGATACCTTCAGAGCATCTGGCTCAGCAAAGTAGACCTGCTCTCCCCATTTGATACCAGTCCACAGGTCATACATCTGTGCAGCGACGTGGCTGAGAGGGAGATAACTGACTATAGACTCCTGCTGGACCTCTGCAGGTTGCATACCTGCTGCTCTGCTGCAGTGTGCTGATGTCCAGGTTATCTGTTTGAATAAATAATAAGACACATTAGGTATGGCGAGGGGTTTGGATTGGAAGTTTTATTTCTTTTTTCCTTTTAACACGAACTAAGGACCCTCACGCCACACTAATGTAACTGTGAAGAACCTGTGCTCACAGCAACTGCTGAGGACATTGCAGTAGTGACTGTCAGCTCCCTGGGGACACTCAGGCCAAAGCCAGGTGACCTTCACAGCAGTAGAGAAGTGCAGATAACAAAAGCACAGAGAGCTTCTGCTGCCTGCCTGGGCTATGAGCACTACCAACCCTCCATGCCCCAGTGACACACTGAGCAGGCAGCATGGGCTGGATGGACAAGGATAAAGGGATCTGCCCCTTCCTTTGCAACTCTCCTGCTGTGCAGACTTTCTTTTAAACTGGCACTTTGCACCAGTGCTGTATCTACGTGTTTACCTGAAAAAGAACAATAAATACTCAGTGATCAGTGAGCTCAAAGGACAATTCAGTATTAGCAAAAGCTCTTTGTCCTGTATGGATCCTCCTGGCCAAGCACTAAGGAGGGTGACAGCAGCTGTACTCTGCTCCTCTGGAAGCTCTGGGATATTCAGCACAGGGGTTCACAAGTGACACACACATACACTCCCCCCTTCTTATGAGAGGCAGCACACACATTAATATTTTTGAGGATGTGCTCCTTGACCTCTTAGTGAAGCTGGATGATACTTCCCCCCCACTTCTTCCCAATTCCCACTTTATCCCAGAAGATGCAGCTCAAGGATGCTAAATATGCAAATTTCATTATCAGAACACAGCATATGGAAGACCCACAAACACATGTGATGCTATGAGAGACGAGGGAAAAGATGTATGTGCACAAAAAAACAACCAAATAAAACCCAAAACAAACACCACCACTCAAAAAAAACCCAAACAAACCAGAAAACCCCAACCAACAAAAAGAAACAGCTCTTTCTCTGAGGAGTCTGTAATCTAAACTGGGTAGTGCAGGATAGAGGAATGAGATTATTCAAGGTGGCAGAGCAGAGACACAAATCACAGGTGACACCTGTTATCAGAGTACATCCCTGCCACCTCCTCTGTGATAAATTAGAAGGTACAAGTGTACACCTGGCCTAAGGAAATAGGGATTCTCAGGAGAGGGGGTTAAGACCAGGCCAAGCCACTCCAAGTTTAGAGGCAGCACTGGACAAGTGGCTGTGGGAGACTCACACAGCAGGAAGAATGGGATGTCTTTAAGATGTGTCCATTCATTGCTTGCCCTCCAAAGCTCACAGCAGGTCAGTGGGTGCATGGAGCACTGACTCAGCACCGGTTCTGCACAGGGACAGTGGCAAACAGCTTTGACTAAAGAAGGCAGCAGCACAGCTACAGGCACAGCATGCCTTCCAGTGTTTGTCAACATAAAAATAGCCTGTTTGTGATCAGCAGCCAAGAATAGTTTGGCAGCTGGCGTGGCAATGACACCAGGCTCCTTTGAGATAGAAGAGCATAGATTCGCAACGTCACATCAGTCTTTTGTGTCTATCAAGTCCACAACGTTCTGCTTCCAGATACTACTGTACTAATTCCCTACATTTGGGTGAATTGCTGCTCACAGTGTGCATGTCTGCAAGAATTTCTGCTTCATTTTAAGGGGAGAGGCCACAACTTAGACCAGCCCTTTCACAGATTCTCTGTGTATTCAGAAAGGCTTCCTACCACCTTCCACTCCCACTCAGCCACCTTATGAAAAATTAAATATATAAACTCCCAAAACAACTACACTTCAAATCTCTGCTAGCTGACCTCTGCGAAAACTCCATTTTGCAAACAACTTGCTTTTCTCTACAACTGGAAATTTTCTGTTTGCAAGAATGCAGGTAGGGCTGTTGTAGTACCAGCACTGTGCACCAGAGCTGTGTTATCCCCCAGTGACAGGTGTAGAAACCTGCATACAAGCCTAAGAACACAAAATGCTGAAGTACAAACAACACACATCCACCCCCAATTTTAATAAAATCTGCAAAAGCAGCCCATCAGGCTGTTTTGATAGCAGCTGGCTGATGTCTATGATTTGTTTTACATCCCCTGAGAGACTTCGTGTCAACCTGTGAATTTTATTTATGAATATATGCATTAGATCTCACAAGAAATCCAGTGAATAAAAATTTCACATTCATAAAGAACCGTTCAACCTTGTGAAGTGCTGGTTTGAATGGAGTTTCACTCTCTACCTTGTTTATACTTTACCAGAAACAGCTGACTGCACTTCAAACATTGCTCTGCAGTACGGTACCCGTGTTGCAAAAACAAAAGGGTTTCAGGGCTCTGCTATGTACAGTCATTTCAAACCACAGGAATAAATATCTTCATGCTTTGCTATTTCTCTGCTAAAGAAAGAGCCTGAAGCACATACATTGTCATGGCTCAGCATGGCTCCTTTGGGCTTCCCAGTTGTCCCAGAGGTGTATATCAGCACACAGCATTGATTAGGCTTTTGAGAGTTAATAATATCATCCAGAGTAGCATCAGATATGTCATGTCCCAGCTCCAGGAACTCCTCCATCTAGAACATGTAACAGAAAATACAGGATATCAAGTGGCTTGCTATGAATTGATACAGTGCTGCATCTTTCCCCTCCCAAAAATGGCAGAACAGTTCAGTGCCTTGTTTGAACCTGTATCCAAGGCAAGTTTCCCCTGATCTAGCCTATGTAACAAATATGGTAAGTCTAGCTTAGACCTTAATGTGTGAATTGCAAACAGACTGTGCTGTCATGAGCCTTTTCAATGCCTAAGAAGGGAACAGTAATACTATTCCTCCTCCAGTGTGGATATAGGGATCAGTCATGGAGGCTAAAATTTTGCTACTGTCTCACACTGTAAGAATGATTTTGAGTCTTATTTAAAGGAAGCTGGATACAACATTTTTAGGTAAGTGCACACTTGTGCCCTCTCATATATAATTCATTGTACTCTATATAAATATATCTGTAAAGCAACTGGATGAAAGCTTCCTTGCAAAAGCATCATTATTTAGATGTGTGAATGTTAGCCCAAATTATCTGCTATTTTATAGGAAACAGAGCATATGATGCTGGTCACAACTTCCATTCAAATTTGGCTCTTTCTAGAGTGAGATAAACCTTTTATGACACTGGGCTTTTGTGCCAGACAAATCTGCCCAGAAGAATCCTGAGCCTGATCCTCTGTATTATATTGGTTGCTCCTTCCTTTGCACACCCCTGCTTTGCTGCTAAGTGCACCACTGATTTCAATGTTAATTGAAATTTAAAAGAAAATCAATAACCAAACTGTCAGTTTGCCATTGCAATCACGTGGTTGCTGCTGTGCTACAGAACTGTGCTATTTAAATGGAAGGTGCAGCACCCCCCTTTTCCCATGATTTCTTGGAGCTCTACCTAGGACCACAAAGCAGAGATGGGGATGAGCTGAAGGACAGCAGAGGTAAGAACGGAGAGCCTGTGCTTGAGGAGAGTTGGTTGCTTCTTTCAGACCTCTGCCATTGCTACTAAGGTTACAACAGTCAGCCTCTGCTGCCCCTTGACTGCCTTCTCTTAGGTGGCAAGGCTGTCCTAAGGATCATTCAGCAGTTTTACACTTTCTTCCAACAAACCACATGCCTGAAAAGAGAGGCTGTAACTGCACAGCTCGGCAGCAAGCAGAGGTTTGTCCCATTCCATCCCTCCCCATGGAATGTGGCAGCACCAATCTCCCAAGCTCCTGCAAAGTGTAGCGGTGTCAAGGATGTAGTTTCTCCCCATTTTCCTGACCTCAGTGTATCCTCCCCCCGGAATGCATCGATCCCCGTGAACGTGTTGCCCAGGCTTTGTTTACCGAGCAGGACCCGCCCCAGAGGTGTCAAACAGTCACACACACAGGGCTGACTTTGCCTTTGCCTTCTGGAAGGAGGCTCTGCCCTCGCTGCAGCAGCCCCTCATCACACGGGAGCTGCCACCCTGCCCCACATCCCCCTCTTATCAAACCCCCTGTGGGCTGGGGGGTTTGCTCTGCATCAGCCCTAACGAACAGTCATTTCTGCCTCTGGTCATCTGGTCTCTAATTTTCCCTCTAGATGACATAAACTATGGCAGCTGTCACACACTCAGAGCTCCCCTGCTCTGCTGAGAACACACCCAGCACGGCCCTGGAACAGGGCTGCTGGAAAACACAGCAGTTCTCAGGCATTTGGGGGGTCAGCAAGCTGTTCAAGAAGTAAATGCCAGCACTTAATCTTTTTACTAAGAAATATAAATAGTAAGATCATCTTTGTAGTATTTTTTTTATTGTACCAATATGCTCCATACCAGTATGTACAGTATTGGAACAGTAATTGTTTATTATTAACTTATATGCAAGGTCAGAAGACTTTTTTTCTTATCAGATTATCAAAATTGCAAATATTTTAAAATAGTTCTGTACTGTTCACTCTTCATTAATATATTTTTCCACAGTCGAAGTTTTTTAGCCTAAAATCTGATCATCCATAGTCAACTTAAAATATGGATTTTTTTTTATTCTTATTACTTAAGAATTACTGAGGTACAATCATATTTTCAAAATATATTGTAATAACACATTTCCAAAAACCTGCTTTGCTTCAAGCCCTCATACTTCCTAAAGGCTGAACTTCTACCACTCAGAAATTTCTCATCCTGGTTTTGTCTTTTTTTCTTTTATTTTTAACATGTAATACATGTTAAATACATGTAATACATATTCTACATGTACTAAGAAAATGTGCTGCTTTGTGCAGTCCATAGTCATTTCTCTTCACTTGTTGCCTATCACCAGAAATATTTGGTGTAGACAAAATGCAACTATCATCTGTAAAAGAACAAGCATTCTCTGTTCTTGGATTCAGGGTAACTCACCACAATTCAGTTTTCACCAGGGGACAACTTTTATTTTTAACCATTTGAGAGTACACATTCCCACCTGAATAGGTGGGAATAATAGGTGTTTTAATAGACCAGTCAAGTTAAAGACCAAGGGGACACAAGACAGAGAGTTAAGCAAGGTATTGCTAATTTTAAATGTAAAGTATCAAACATGAAGTTACAGGTAAATTAAACAGAAAAAAAAAGCTGATGAAGCTTTTGAACGTGTTTGCTGGAACGCAGCAATGCATTCTAACTGACACTGCGCTGACAAAGCATAGTAGAAATGTCTCAAATAAATAACCCCCCCTGAATTGTAAGTCTGTTCCAGCACTCACATACCGTATATAAATCTGGATGTGTCTCTGGAAGGGAGTCCTTATATAGCACAACAGCTTTCAAGTGTGGTAAGCGATCCCAGATCTGTTGGATTTTTTAAGACAAATTTATTATTTATTATTCATATCTTGCATGGGCTTTTTTTCCCCCACTAAAATACTGCCAAAACTGTAATGGCTTGACAGGCACAACCCCCCTCCTCTTTCCCTCCACCCCCAAAAATTCTCCCCTGAACTCACCCGCAGTTAGCTCAGCTAGAGGCGGGGGAAGGAGGAGGGGACTACACAGTCTGCACAGTCTGCTCTAGAAAATCTGGTTTCAGTCAAAAAGAATAAAAAAACCCGAAAATTACACCCAAAACGGCTCCTCAGCATCCTTTCTCACAGTGCACAACAGGGCACATCAAGGAGCTGTGGTGTAGATCAAGCTGGAAGCTGACCCCAACTGCTGTGGTTTGCAACAAAGTCCCTCAGCCAAAACTGGTGTTCAGGTGCTAAAAAAAGTTCTACTTCCTCAAGGAAAAAAGGAAATGGAGCCATATGGACAGTGTAAGGATACATAAGGACATAAAGCTGCAGGCCCACAGGCAGACAGCCACGGCTGCTGGTGTCAGGAGCTCTTTGTGTGCTTTGCATGGCCTGCAGAAAACATTCATTTCACTCCACTCCCTGGGCCCCCTGCCTCACTGACCACATTTGGAACTGCACCTGTGCCAATACAAAAGCAGTGGCTTGATGGCAGCCACTGTGTACACATTATTAGAAGGACAGCAATTGAAATGCTGTGTTATCATTTCAGCCTTGGGTTCTTCCGGGGAAAAAAATGTTTTGAAAAATCTTCTGTTTTTTTCTAAATTTTAAAAATTTTAGAATTTTTCTAAAAACCTGTCTTCCTGCAAATCACATATAAAACAGAGCCACAAAATACAAAGTAATTAATACAAAGTAATTAATACAAATACAAAGTAATTAATGCATAACTTATACCAAATACATCTGAAAAAACCCCACTCTGTGGCAGGTACATGTTTTTGGCAGAAAACTCCATCGTGAAGGGCCCCCTTGCTTCAGCAAACTGCAATTTGGTGCAAGTTTGATGGGTCATCTCCAGCCAGGGGCCTCCCTCAACACCTGAGAGACAGATAAGCCCTTCCCAGGTTGCTGCCTGTGCTCCTGGGTTCCTCCCCAAGTCCTGCAACCGGGATCCTTCTGTTAAATTGGTCTTTCCCTCTGGCACCGCTGCTGAAACCCAGTCACGGCTGCTCAAGGGTCGTGTCAAAACTGTGACTGGTCACCTAAAGAGGCTCCTGCTCCTTTCTCACCAAGGTCTGTCTCATTTAACCATCACACTATTTAACCATCGTGCCACCAAAGTGCAGTAACTCGACAGCCTTAATGGCTACTGTGACAAGATATGGCAAGCAGGATAAGATGATACCTTGGAAAGAGGGAATCCTGAACACTGGCACACTTCATATTTCAACTGCAGGCCTTTGCAAACCTGCAATTACAGAGTGTAATCTCTTCATTCCAGTGGGCTGTGCTTTGCCAAAGAGAAGCAGGTGGTGACAGTATAACCATGGGATCAAAAGGTGAGTTTTTCCAGGGAAATCTGCAGTGAACCATCCAGTGAGCTCTGCTGGAGCCACAGACACTGGAGAGGACAGGGCAGCAAGGCACCCACGAGCTCAAGCACCAGATACTGGATTTCTGAGTAAGAACACCTCCATAAAAGGTTCCATGATACAGAGAGTGTATATGGTGTTTGGGACCAACACAGCAGCAAGAAATGAAAAAATTATGGCTTTTCAGCAACCCTTCAGCCACCTCGTACCTGCATTATCTTGTCCAGTTGTTTCTGATTTTCCACAACCATGATATTGGTTTTGCTGTCATGAGCAATGTAGTGACAGGCCTCTGGAGAACTGGTTATGTATATTCCTGTGACAATTCCTCTGAATCAAAAAATTTATATATACATATATAAGAACATATATTTATATATATACACACACATATACATGCACTTAGTATCAAAAAAGAGTAATAATCAAGGATCAGATGAAAGCTGAAAGAGTATGAAGATGTGGAAGCAAACACAGCACAGCTCTCATTTGTTTCATGTATCCAGATATAGATATTTATCTAAATCTCTGATTTATGCACATTGCAAAAACTAATCTCTGAACTCTATTCAGTAGAAGGTGCTGTAGGCTGGGATTCAGTGTTTTAACCCATTTGAGGCTACTCAAGAGTCAGCTCAGGAAGTTGTAAAAAATTCCCAGTCACGTCCTCTTCCTGTTCAAGCTGCACACAGGTACCAATTTGGATTTCACTGGCACAGAACAGCTTAAGAAGTAAAACCCAAATTGTGTGAACAGGTATCAGGACAGAAGGAATCGGGCTGGCCAATATTCATATGTTACTTCATCTCCTTGAACATATCTTGCTGTAGACAAATATCATTAATATAAAACTGTGAGTCTCATCTGTTTCCCACATCTTCCAGAGATAAGACACTGTACAACAGCTTCTGTCACAGTTAAGCCCACAGCAAACAGGATCAACTTAGGAGTGCCTGGACTATTTCAGACAAGAGACTCCAGCAGGTCCCTGAACATGCTAATCAGTAGCAACACAACTTCCAAAATATGACAGCAAATACTTATTTGCTGCATTTCCACCTCTAGCAAAACAGAAATCCCCAAAGCCCTTTCAAAATCAACACCCCCCCCCAAAAAATCTTACCCAGCAAAAACAGCTCCAACAGCTGAGATGAACCATTCTGGAGAATTAAATCCAAGGATTGCTACGCTGTGGAATCGTTCAAGACCGAGCTTAAAAATAATAAGCATGAGGTTATATAATGTAGGCACTCTGGAGAGGAACATCCACACAAATACAAACTTTGGAAACGTCTGATGTATTATTGCAGTATTGACAAGGCATGTCCACACACAGCTCTGTGCTGGTATCCACAGCAAAACCAGTATTTATCAGCAGTAACATGATGCAACTTTTCCACTGCCTTCTCCTGGCTGGTTGAGCTCTGCTGCCCAGAAAGGCCTGAAACCCAGAACACTTCAATATGAACGAGACATAATGAGTACCAATATTACCCTATGCTTAGAAGGCTTTAGAAATTGTGTTTATCTCACCAAATTCATGATAGTACTGCTTTCCCCTGTTTTTCTGTTTTTAATCTCAAGGGCCTCATGCTGAGCTCTGTGCCCACATCCCAGTGAGCAAGTGTGACACAGCAGCTCCTCCCTTGCAGCCAGGCTCCCCTGACAGCAGTGTTATCTCTGACCAAAACCCATTTTCATCATTATTTCAATAAGGAATACGACTGCTGATCTTCAAGTAATGGGGAAAGCCTCTTATAGTGTGGGTTTTGGGGTTTTTCTGTTCATTTGTTTTTTGGGGTTTTTTTAAAGGAGACAAAGGGAGAAAATGAAATGGCTTTGTTTCCTGTACCTACCTTCAAGAAGCTCTTGGCTGCTTTCCTGGAGAGGCAATAATACTCTGAAAAAGTTATTTTCTCCCACTTTCCATTCTTTTTGCTGGCCAAAGCATTAAGGGACCCGTATTTTTCCAGGCTCTCCTTGAACATCTGATGAACTGTTATGGGAGTCTGTGGACATGAGTTATCTATTCTCAGTCTGACTCTGCCATCAGCAAGGGAAGTCCACAGGGACTCTGGAAGGTAAAGCACTATTGTCAAGGTATTTTATCATTGAAAAATACCATGTGACTGTGTACCAGAGGACAAGAGAGCTGAATAAAGACCACGGGACCAAGCTCAACTCTGGCACTTCTCACCTTCCGAGAGAAGGACTTTCCAATTTTCTTTCTATCAAATGCACCACATAGAAGGAGAAATCTTTCTCTGTTACACTTTGATCTGCATCTTGAACAGAAGTGCCACTGGGCAGAATTACACTGATCTTCTGTTACAGACACCCCCCCAGTTCCAGAGCAGCGTCCGCCGGTGCTCAGCCCTGCAGTTCCCCCTGTGCAGTGGAGTAGTCAATGAATCAGAAGGCTACAGAGATCCAAAAGATCTGAAACCTCTAACCCTGCTCAGTATCCAAGCCCCTTTTGCTTGTTATAACTCTTCCCTCTCTCCTTCCCCTCCACCTCTTCTCCCTCATCCTGTCTCTGTTCCCCACTACTTCCCACAGTTTTTTCCTTGGTCACCTGCCCCATGTTCTAATTTGTATATCCACTCCACCCACTCCTGTCTTGCCCTGTTTCCATGTCATTTTTCATCTTTTCCTGCTCTTGTCTTCCTCACCCTGCCTTTCTACCATCCACTTTTTTGTCCCTGTATTTGTCCTCCCCTTCCTTGACAGGACACAGAGAAAGAGCACCAACAAATGTCACTTGGCTCTCACCACTGGTTCCAAGGACTTCACAAGAAATATCTCTCTCAAAGACTTTACTTGGCTCTTGCAAAGCCAGCAAAAGGCTGAGTATAAATACACTCCTTAGAGAATCTAGGGGTTAGCAAGTTGGCAAAATTCAGGTGAATTCTCACAAGGAAAGCACAAAGCCTCCCACGACTCCCCTGTCAAACAGTTCCCATACTTCTCAACAAAACAGTACAAGAACATTGTAAGAACAACATTTTTTTCTTTAGATTCACGTTCATAAATGAAGAAATAATTTTAGCATAAACATAAATATATATATATTCTAGAGTGAGCTGATGAAAAAATTTCAAAGTGCTTAGGCTTGTCAGAATTGAGTGTAAGAGAAAATAGGACTTTTTGAAGTTCCTGATAGAAGTTAATAAGCATGATTGTCTTTTACTACTCTTATGGAAAGCAAAAACTGTGAGAAAGCTCAGACAGCATCTGTGCTGTTTCCTGGAACCCCAGGGGCTGAAAAAAAGGCCATTCTGGAGCGTTCAAAGTCCAACATCCCTGTCCAATGCTATTCCTCCTGTTGCTTCACAGGGAAACCACCTCTCTGAGCATTTCTGGCAACATGTGAACACATCAACCACAGCTGGATCCACACGAGCTCTTCAGGACATGCTTGCAGCCTCCCTGAGCCAGGGAGCTTGTCTGTGCACAGACAACCAGAGGCACAGCAAGCTGCTGCAAGCTCACAAACATCGTGTTCCATTCCTGCCCCTGGCTGGCAGATTTGCATTTGTTCTCTTGACAAACAGAAGGTGTTAATGGCAGCAATAAATACAAATAAAGCTGCTTCATCTCCCCGTGCCTTCCTTTGCTCATGTGCAAACTGCATATAATGATTTTCAAAACATAGGTGTGGAGCTTTGCTTAGCTCAGTGGAGAAAGGGCATCGTACATCCAGACAGTTTGGAAAACAAGTAGCTGTGAAGGATTTTAGGTTACAGACAGACTTTATCCAAGTGTAAACAGTATCACCCAATAAATATTTTATGAGCTGAGGAGGCAAAGCAGGTGTTACTGCACTTAACCCCAATCCTGGTGTGGAGCTGTTGTTAATCCAAATGCTTGTTTTCTGCAGTGACACACCACAGCCCAGATGAAAAACTCTATATATAGATGTTCTGGCTTCTAAACCAACCGAGGGGGCAGGGATTGCAGGTGTGTGTGGGCACAGAGAGGTGACTGCCCTGTTGAAAACAAAATTGTACCATACAGAGCTAAAATACAACATTCTGGTTCATGTACTATGACAAAATGCTCTGCAAGGGACGTGAAAATATTAGCAACATTCCTAAACAAACATTACAAAAGTTGCATGATTACTGTCTTTTCACTGCAGAGGTGCAGTAGATAACAAACAGAACACTTTCCAGAGAAGAGTGAAAATCATCCATCAAATCACTGAAATATCTATACATAGAAACAAAAAAATGTCCTTGGAAACTAGGTTTCCTTCTGCTTTTCTTTATGCAGGTTTTTACAGTGTCAAAAAGGCATCTTTGATTCCCACCAAAGATTAAGAACACAATCAGTTTCAGAGACTCTGTGCATCACCTTAATAATACACAAGCTATACTGCAAATGAATATAAACCTAAATGCCCATTCAGTGTTTGCTTTTGCAGGTAGAATTTATCTCAAAACAGTCCTGAGATCTAGATATAAGCCAAATAATTCTAAAAATCCAATTAGTCTGTCCCATAGAGTCAGTAAAACCAGCAGAACATGAACAATATATTCCTCTGTCAGTTTGCAGAGGGTTTTTGAGCAGAGGGCTCATTCTTCTCAGAAAGAGCCTGGGAAGGAATGCCTGGCAAAATGCTGAATGTGTCAATTATAAACTCTGGGAAGAGCAAAATAGGTGCTCTGTCTTGCTAACATCTGAAAGTTAAACTGCAATATCCAGGCTGGAAATGAACTCAGAACCTCCTGAAACCAAAGAGGAAATCAGAATAAAACCCCTCTAAATACACTATTAGCTTTGGTACATTATCCAGCTGTAGGTTTACAGAGGAGAAAACAAACCACATTCCAGCTTGAAGTACTTGATGCCAATGAAAGTCCCCTATATGCAACCAAAGAGTAATATTTGCCCCTTTCCTCTTTCTCCCACTAACTCCTGCTACCTGCATTATACTTTGTACCCAAAATGCTTTTTCATTCACTGATATGTGACCTTGGCTCATGTCCTTCACATCAATCCACTGAAGGTCAGAGCTGACGAGAAAAGATCTCTGCTTAAAGAAGGTGATGTTGTAATTTAAAATAAAAAGAGCAGAGATTTTATTCAATAAGTCCTTGTGACTGTCACTCTTTGAGCCTCTTGAGTATCATTTTCCTCCAAGGCCAAATTCCATGATCAGATACCTTTTCCATGCTTCACTGCCTTCACTGCTGAAGGAAGAGATGGCCTGGAGTAGTCTCACAGTTATATAGTTACACTTACAACAGGAGGGCTGGACTGCAGTTTGTCTTGGGAATCGCTCTAGGGAAAGCTGATCTAAATACCTGGGATTTTAGGTGTGCAGTTTTCCCACTAATGTGTAAATTTTCAACAAGAAACTTTACAGGAGAAAAAAAGTAGTTAAGAACCACTTAAAAGACACACTGAAAGTTTTCAACTCATTTTTCACGATACAATCCTAAACTTATGAACCATTTACATGTGAATACTGATTTATAAAAGTACATTTGTTACTCAGATATTTTCTTTCAAGTCCGAAATGATGCACAACATAAACACATTACAATTGTTGTATTTTTATCAGCCAGTTTATTCCTTCCATCATGTATAATATAAGAGTTCTGACACAATACAGGCTGTCTTTCCCAGCCCAGATACCAAAAATGACTTTAAACAGACAAACAAATAGCAAGTCCATATTTATTTATTTTTTCATGAATAACCAGTCTGGCTGAAACTGCTGGGCCTCTGGGATGTATAAAGGAAACTGTGTACTAGTTAAAAAAAAAAAAAGAAAATTAAAAGAGAAATACACTAATCCTACAGTTTAAAGCTAATATAATCAATGAAACTTTGTTCACTAATATCCTGGTGACTGGCAGAAAGGATCTGAGGATGTAAATAAATTCTGATGTTTCTGGAAGAACAGCTCTGAGAGCCACACAAAATGCAAGAGAGCCAAGGTCACCTTTCAGGCAGGTAACCAAACAGGCTGATGGAGGAGCAGCCCTGCTGCATGACCTGAGGAGCTCCGAGTGATATTCCATGGATGTGCCCCGAGAAGCAGGAACTAAACCAATAATTTAACTTCTGCTTGAAAGTGAATCAGATTTAACTCACAAAACAGTGTCTTGATTATATGCCAGTTGCTGCAAAACATCCCTCTGCCCTAATGAGGAGAGCAGGAATTCAGCTCTTTGCTGGAGGCATTCCTGACAGTCATCATCCCAGATTCCACAGCCATGATGCCATCACATTCTGCTGACAACACAAATGCATCATTCCTCCTCTCACCCACTATTTTTTTGCTTTTCTTCAAGATACCTGTGACCCTAAGAGATTAATTTCTTAAGCTGAGTAAATGGAGTTCAAGAGCTTGGTATCTGTGTCAGACTTCCCCTTGTGCCAACAAACAGACTGAACACAAGTACAGAACTCTGGAATTGAAAGTGAACCTGAAAGTATCAGCCAGACTATATACACAGCGACTCTTCTAATAAAATACAGAAACCAGCTTCCTGTTGCTTGCCTTGCCACAGCTGGGGGAGGAAAAGGGTTTTCTGCTACATTACCAGTTTTCCACAACAAACATGTAATCTTAACACTGTCAAACAGGAAAGACTGAATAAATAGAGGAAATCTTTTTCAATTAGCCAAAACACATGAAAATATTTCAGTTCATGGATACCTATGCCTTTTCCACTGGAGGAAAAGGGAACATTTATTAACTGCAATAAAATATACTGCTCTTCACAGCAGTGAACTCCTGCAAGTGTGGATCAGAGAAATTAGATATCCTGCAAGGAATCCTCTCTGAGCTGACGTGGAGGGAGTGGTGCATCAGGGCAAGGACAAAATAAGCCTCCTAACAACCCTGACGCTTCTAAAACTGATTACGATGCACCAAAATGGAACGTGTGGAGGGTGTAATCAGGAGGAAACATCAGCACAGAAACATTGCCCAGGCATGCAGGCATGGAAAGTCAAAACTCAGAATTGGGACTGGTGAGTGATGGGAAGAGCCACAAGAAGGGCTTCTACAGGCACACAAGGAGAACCAGGGACATCATGGGTGACTTGCTGACACGGGACACGCAAAGGGCTGATGCTCCCAGTGCCTTTTCACCCCAGTGTTTACTGGCAGGATCAGGCTCCCTGGGTTTCCATGCCTAGGGACAGGTGAGGTGTTTTACCTACAGCAGAAGAAAATCAAATAGGGACCACTTGCACAAACTGGACACATACAGAAGTGTTGATGGGACTGCATGAGATGCTTCAGAGTGGACACTGAGAAACCAGGTCAAAGCCATTGCTCCCTGCCATTGAAAAGGCACAGCAATTTGGAAAGGTCCCCATGACAGTGAAAAAGGCAAATGTCACATCTGTCTTCAAAAAGCAGGAGAAAGAGGACTCAGATAACTAAAGGCCAATCACCTCGGTCCTACAGAAACCTCACCTCGGTCTACAGAAAGGCTGTAGAACAAACTCTCCTAGAAATCATTTTGGGCTATAAAATGGTCACTGAGACCAGCCAGAATGGACAGACCTGATCTGGCCTTGGGAAATCTAACCCAACCACCTTCCACGATGAGTTGACTGGCTCTGACACGGTGAGAGCAGTGGAATGTTGTTCACTTTTTACCTTTAACGAGGTCTTTAACAAGTCCTACATAGCTCAGCATGGAAGGTTTGAACCAGGTGCAGTTGGAGGAACAGGTGGATAAAAAACTGGCAGGATAACTAGTCTTCAAGAACCATGGTCAACAATTCCAAGTGCAGCCAGAAGTCATTACAAGCGACATTCTTCAGGGGTTACTCCTAAGAACAACACTGTTCAGTGATGGCGCTGCTGTCCTGGACAAGAGAGAGAACACTCACAGCTTCAGAGGTGACCCCAAACTTGAGGAACCGACCAACGTGCCAATCCATCCATAAGGGACCTCAGCACACCAAAGGACGGGCTGACACAACCTCAGAGCTCCACAGGGGTGAACATAAGTCTTGCACTCTGGGCAGGACAACCCAATGCCCCAGCAGGGACCGGATGGCAGCTCAGCAGGACAAACCCTGTGGCTCCTGGGGGCTGGATGTCCCGATGGAGATGAGGGCTGACTGCATCCCAGTTGCACTGGCAGGATTAGAGCCAGCACATCAAGGAAGGTGATGGTTTCCCCTGCTCAGCACTCCTTGAGGGTGCACCTGAAGCAGGGAGCAGCTCTGGAAGCCCCAGTGCAAGAGAGAGATCCTGACAAACTGACATAAGCCCAGGACAGGGATTCCCAGGGGCCAGGGGCCTGGAACACACCATGTAGGAGAAGCCCCTGCAGGAATTGGGTTCCTCCAATCTGGAGAAGAGAAAGAATGAATCTCCCTGCTGCCTGCCACAGACCAAAGAGGGTGCTGCAAGGAAAACAGATTCTTCTCAGAGGCACCCAGCAGAAGAACAAGAGGCAATGGACATGAGCTGCAGCAAGGAAAACTCTTGCTGGATCAAGAAAAGTTATTTCCCAATGTAGGTGACTCAGCTTAAGAAGAGGGATCGAGAGGCTGTGGAATTTCCATCCCTGGAGGTTTTCAAAACTCAGCTGAACAAAGCCACAAGCCCTCCTATGAGCAGAGATGGACTAGTTGCCCTCCAGTGGTCCTTTGCAACATAAATTACTTTGTGATTCCATCAGTATGAAGCCAGCACGAATGAGTTCTCTTCTAAGTCAATCTAATGGTTTTAAGTCATATAATGCTTGCTACCATCAGTAAGGGTACTCTGGATTTACAGATGCATTAGAAAACCCCAAATCTGGCCTGCTTCCACAGCAATGAGCTTCTATACATTGGTGGAAAGGAATGGGGAAAAAATTCCAGAACAATCTGCAGTCCTCACTGAACAAATTTAGTCCTGAGGTTGCAGAACGTATCAATTATAAAGTGAGAAAGACAGTTCTGCACAACTAGAAAACATCAGAATCTCCTCCTTTTCTCTTTATATACAATGTAGACCCACTGAAATTAGACACTGACCTTCCTTCTCATGAAAGATTATTTGGGAGAAGTGTTTGAAATTCAGTCCTCCCTTTCCCACTCAGCATCTGCAGAGCAGTGTGATGTGTCCAAGTCAAACACTGCTTCTCATTTAAATGGATAACAAGCAGTGCCACAGATTCTCAAAGTCAAATAAAAGACAAAGTCTAACAAATTGTAAGCTCCTGATTCATCAACTTAGAAGATCTAAACAGCAATAAAGGAACTGCTTAATTAAAATGGATGAGGTGTCACTTGTGTTTGCAAGGAAATTATGAGGGAACAGCTGGAATGGCTTCTCCCCTCATTGTTCTCCTCACCTGGGTGGCAGAGCTGTGGTCACCTCTGCAGGAGTGGCTGCATGGCATGTGCATTCCTTCCTGAGCATATTTCTCTAAACTGCAGCCAGCAGCAACCTCTGGGAGGAAGGCAGGGTAGGTACTGTCAGCAGTAACCAGAGTCCCAGATAAATTCTTAGAGAAATAGGTCAGAGCCTTCCTGAGCACACAAGTACTCTGCAGAATCACAGCCTCGGTAATAATCTAAATATAGAATGTGTGCCTCAAATAGTTCCATAAATACCCTGAAAATTGGAAACCAGACATTAGTTATCACCTTTATCCATCCAAATTTATTTCCTGCATCCTGAAAGAACAAAAAGCATAGAGCTGGCAGGTCAATTTTGGGAATGAATCTACTGTGTCTCAAAGAACCGCCTTTTAAAAAACAAAGATATATCCATACAGGTATGATTTTATACATGTGTATAAAATCTGCATGGGAGATTCCTACATAGATCTGATATCTATGCAGTCATTGCTCCAATTGTCTCTAAGAACAAATAGCACATTTGGTTAAATGAGCACATTTAGATACCAGTAGCAGCCTCACCAAGGCAACAGGGAGCTCTCTCAGGACAGCAAACCTTGCAAGGAACCTCACAAAGTTCTGCTAACAAAGCTCCTTTAATCCTCCCCAGGTGACAGCAGGGGAACAGGCTGTGATGCCAAAGGTAACACAATTTGTGTGATTTAAAATGGGATCAGTCCATTTAAAATGGATTTAAAATGGGATCAGTCTGGTTTTCATTCTTATCTGGCCACCACCTCAAATACAGACAAAAACTGGGAGAAACTATTGAATCCATGCAAATTTACAGCTCCTGAAAGTTTTTCAGCTGCCCAGACTCACTTCAATTTTATTCTTGTTTTTTTCTCTCCTTATCCCAGCCCTGAAAAATTATCAGCCATAACCTGCTAGAATAGAAATACAAATTACATTCAAAAAGAATTCAAAAAAGAGCTCAAATGTCCAAGGATCACCTTTGACAGGCTCACCTGCTGGCTCTGTGCCTTCACCCTGGGTCTCCTCCAAATGGGGCAGTGAATCTCTGCAGACACTCTGGGCATCTGGAAAGCTTCTAAAAGAAAATATAACTATTAAAAAGTTACCCAGGAGTGCTAGTGGGATCCAATGCAATCAACACAATGGTTTGAAGTGGAAATAAAAACACAGCTTCCAAACACTTCAAAATACAAACTGGTAAAAACAGGAAGCTCAGAGGTACCAAGAACCTTTTGACTGTTGCAAGCTCCACTAAAACCCAGTTAAACAGGGAAATGCCTTCAAACTCAGGATAACATTCCTTATTTCATACTTTTGGGTTCAACATCATGGAATACACCAGATGAAGGCACTAATTTTGAACCCCCACAGAGAGGCCATGAACCCTGCAAGTACAAAGAACATCAATTTTAACCCTGATCATGCTGCCCCTGTACTGATATCACAACACCTTGGAAGTTGTCACTGTTGGTATCTGTTGAAGCTCTGAGGTCAGGGGCTTTTTGGTTGGTTTTTTTAAGGAAGAGAAGGCAATTCAGTTCCTAACAACAACAACAATAATAATAAAGTTTCTCAAAAACTTCCCCAACACAACAAATTATCATTAACACATGGATGACATTAACTTTTCCTGGCTTAAACAGACCAAGTTAAAAGCACAATACAAACTCCAACCCAAAAAGTCTGCAAGGAATTACGTGAACAAAATATCCAAACAATAACTAAGCATTTAGAAATGACTGACTGCACACAGCAATGAACTGTGGATTATTCATGAATAGCAGCATAAAGACCTTTTAATGTAGCTCATTTCATTTTAAGAACAAGTTAGGATTTCCTTCATTCCTCTCAACAGTAGAGTCCTGAGTGAAGCTCAGAAAGTCCTTCCCTTACACACCATAATAAATTAACTCAAAATGTAGGAAAATAAAGTTGAAACGATGCCCTTCCCAACTTTCAAATAAATAACAACTTCAAAAGCCATTTTCTACCCAGCAGTGTCAGGTACAAACAGCAGGACCAAACACCACACCAGACACCATTTCCTATCTCATATTAACAACTACACTTGTAAAACAGTTCTATGTGGAACACTCCTAGAATTTATTATTGTTATTCACAATGAAATCATGCTTTAAAAATGCCTTAGCCACGCTGGGGCCCTTTCACAATAGTTTAGCAGACTTTGTAATTCTTCACCCATCAGAAGTGACAGTCCCAGTTCATTTCCTCCCTTCCTCCTCCTCCCCAGATTCCCGAGTCTCAGGTCACAAAAGCAGCCGAAGGAAACTGAGGAGTCATCACTAATCTTGCCTGTGAGGACATTTCCTCTCCTGTCAACAGGCATAATGGGACAAAACATGAAAGGGCTTGTCTGATAAGCAAAAAGGGGTCTGAAAATAGGCACTGGTTTGGTGAGGGCGAATGTTGATGAGAACCTGAGTAATTTAAATATAGAAGGGGATTATACTGCATTTTGAAAGGTAAGCCTGCATCTGACACATGGTGACTTAATGAACTGGGACTGCAAAGAGAGAATGACAGACCAGGAAGAGATATTTGGGAATAAAACCAAAACAAGACACCTGAAATAACTTAAAAACATGTGTTTTATCTGCCGTCTCAAAACACTTGATAGTTCTTGAATTTTTTCCTATCTTACAGAAAAACTACATTTGATGTTTTGAAATCCAGGGGAATCTTTTCCTTTAAGTATCTTCTGAATAAAAAAGCTTTTAAAATTTTTATTATTTTACAAAACAAACAAAACAAAGTCTTAGTCTAAAGATATGTGAACAATCCTTTTGAGGAAAAAAACTAGCAAAAAAGCCTTCTGAGGAAAACAGCTCTGCAGTAATGTACCAGAAGAGCCTCCTCTGAGGCTACTCAAAACTTTAATAAACATCATTAGTGACTTTTCCTAGATTAAGATCTCTTTAGTTTGCTTTAGTCTCAGCTGTTATAGGCTTCTGGTTCAGTTTATATTATGTTCCCTTTATAGAAAAATAACCAACCACCAAGTGTGAATTTCTGGATTCTTTCTGGTAATGCTTCACCAAGTAAAAGTTGTATGAGGAGCTCTACCCATCCAGCATGTTCATGAGTGTTACAGCTGGGAGCACACATGCCTGGTAGCTGTTACCTCCCTCCATGGATTAAGGATCCATTTGAGGGTGAGGCTTTTTTTTTTGCCCTGAAAGTATAACTAAGAAATTTCCTCTTCCACCAACAATTTCCGTGGATATTCAGAACCATCCCATCCCTTCTGAATGAACACATGCGGGTTTGATGTCTTTCCTTTTACCTTCTGTCAGGAGTTATTCCTTTAAAACTGAAGTAAAGCCCCCAGGAATGGTTGTGTTATTTGGAATAGTTCAAGACTGAACTGGGCAGAATTCAGAGGGACTGCCTGGCCCAAGCTTGCTGAGCACACTGCAGCAAGGAGAGAATGCACTGCAGAACCCCAGCTCGGGGCTGAGATGCCTCAGCAAAGCCAGAATGCTTTGGAAATCTCGACTTGGGCTCCTAAATATTTTATTAAGACCGAGGTTCTGCATAAATTATTCAGTGTTCTTAGTGCAGGGTCAGTGTTTTCCAAAATCCAGCTACCAGTTTAGAAGTGGATTTTCCACGTCTGATTTCTGCCTTGGAAGTTTACAGTTCCAAAGGTAATACACAAAAACCTGCACAGATCCCACCCAGAGAGGATTTAACAGCGGAGGTCGCTGGAACAAGTCAATTAGAACAAACTGAGATCATGCTACAAAACCTTGATCAGCTAGAACTAAACAAAGCATAGTTCTGCATGGCTCCATTAACAGGGGTGGGTTTTGAATGACAGCATTTCCTGATGTAATTTGGGATTTAATTTCAAGGTACCATTCCAGCAAACATGACCTCATTCAACACGTTCCCTTCACCTGAGACAGAGGCACAGAATTCTCAGGGTGACTGGCTTATCCAGGGGTTTGGGGCCAAGCACAACCCACCTGCAGCTCCCACCACTGCCCTCTGCCAGCTGGATGCTACTTCCCACTGAAGCTGTTCCCACACATCAGGCCAAGCTGGAAAGCAAGAATCTGAAAATTCCATATATTGGAACAACAAAGGGAAAGCTTCCCTTCCTTCAGTGTTTCCATGATTGCAATCACAGCTCTAGTGAGATTTATCTTTGCAAAGCCATGCAAGCAAAGTGCGGGTGAGGTAAAATAATGACTGATGGAAGTGACAGTCCTTCCTGCTGGGATGAGTCACCAGGAGCAAAGCATCCCATCTGGATTTGCTGGCATAGCCATTACTGGTTTTATCTAAGTGTTTTTGATAGCAGCCAGTGCATACAGTATCATTTCTTATTGTAACTGCAGAAACTAAATGCCACAGCTAAATCTCTCCACTTTTATCGTTACAAAATGCTCTTCTGCCAATCACACACCAGAAAAGCTGTTTGTTCTGTTACCACAATGATGCTGAGTGATTAATGGCACTACTGACTGTGATACTAATTGCCATAGGTTTTTCTTTTGTTTTGTTTTAAGGGAATTTGGAATTAGCCTTTTCCTTCCACAGGCTCTATGTTTCCGTCTCTGGTAATTAGAATTTCTGCTTGCAACTCATACTCCAGGTCAAATACAGTCAGATATTTGCTGTCACCTAAATTCTTTCCTCACAGGAAAATTTTGAAAAAATACTACCAATAAAACTGAAGTAAATCTATAAACTCAGCCTTTAATATGATAATAAACCAACGATTTCTACAGAGAAAATGTTGTACAGAAATTCTCACTTGAATAAGCCTTACAGGATACACTCGTTGTCCTGTGTAATTAGGTTAGAATCTTCTCTCTCAATCTAAAAAACTATGAAATTTAGGTTCTAGGGTATGATATATTTTGGCCTTAATTCTGCAGAGTGATTTCTAATATCATGAATTGCACCAATATGAACACTGTTTTGCAGCAGTCATATTATCATGAGATTTGAGGGGAAGCTATTCATTAAACAGATTATGTATAGGGGCAAATAAAAGACATCTCATATTCTGTTTGTATTCCTATTTTTTATCACTATTGTTCAACTCCTGTAACGTTGTCAATGTTAAGTTTTTACTCTGCAGGGCTTATTAAACTTTTAAAAAATAAATCAGCTTTCTATAAACTTGCAAAAATAAGCCAGTTATCAAACAGCTATATATGTAAATTGTTACTATATTATCCAGGTAAAGGTATTCCTTTAGACTTCAGCATATTTACTTATAACCCTTTACACACATATAGCAAGCCAAAGTACTTTTAAGTCTGGAAGTCACATTCACAGCTGCTCACAAAGATTTAAACAAACATTTTTTGGCAACTAAACCAGTCAGTAGCTCAGACTAAGCCTTCACCCAGAAGCCCCATTCTCAGCTCCCAGACCTCTGCTGCTGGATTCAGGAGGATTGATACCATCTCCTCCTCCCTTCCTTGGTATTCCCATGCAGAGCTTTCTCCCATTACACAGCTTCTCCACTCCCACCCTGCTCCTGGGTACTGTTGTACCACGTGTGTGAGCTCACCATGTAATGAAAGTATTTTTATTAATTAGTTATTTCTAATGGTTTAATGTCTGAGAAATGTTCACTGCTGAAGATTCTGCATTCACAGTATACATTATCAGATAAGCTGAGGCCTAATTTTAGAGGAACAGTATGTTCAAGGTGCAAGGCTCTGGCTCTGGTCAACCATGTCACTGCACTTCAGGCCCACTTAACTTCCCAAGGTTTTATTATAAAACTATTGCATGATTTCTGTGCTTTTGTCCCTTCAAAATAAACCACCCTGCAGACTGTCTGCAACAAAGAACACAGCCAACAGCGGGGCAACGCTCAGTAACAGTGTCTGCTGAGTCCACCCAATTTCCCTGTCGCTTCCATGCTTTTTCCAAAAAGCAATCCCACCCAGCTGCTCCTGGGAGTGCTCTCACAGCCCTGCTTCCAGCCTCAGTGGCTCTCAGGAAGGCTCAGGGGTGTTTTGCCCTCACTGTGATGACCCAGAGCTCTGCAGCTCCTTCCTCTGCTTCGCTGTCCCTCCGAGCACATCATTTCCAGGCTCCCCTACCTCCAGGCTCAGCCATGTGGCAGCAGCACTACTTCACAGTTCTTACAACACAGTCTCCACCTCATAATTAAACTCCTTTCTCTGCCTGCCTTGCCCAAAGAAGCATTTTGTAAGACACAGGTGTTTATCTCGGGTAGCACTGCGTGCAGAGCCCCATTTGCACGAGGACTTCCTTTCTCAAACGCTTTTGTTGAACTGGCTTTCCTAACTATTAATCTGATTTAATACACAAAAAAATAGGCTGAAGTGGAAAATACGCATTTTCCCAAGAGGGAACTTTTCCATAAATTTTGTTTTAATCTTTCACTGCTTGCTTCTCCTAAGGATGACTTGGTGAGTTCCTCCTCTAAAATCCTACAGTTTGGTTGGTTGATTATTTAAGTAATCCACAGTAAAGTGGATGATAAAACATCCTTCTTCCAATCAGTGTCTATGTTTGACTGCTTCATTCTTGGTGACAAGTGTCCTAAATATTTATCCCTGTTCCAACACTGAGAAATTCCCACCCCCCTCAGCTTTTGTTCCATGTTCTCTAGGACAACCCAGCTCCATACATTCCACCAGCCTTACTCTGCATCAGAGCTGCTTTGGGGAGTGTTTTGGGTCTACATCTGCACATTCTTAAGAACTTTTCATTGGGTGTTAGACATTTTCAACAGCTCATTGTGGCATTTGAATTCAAGATGGAATCATTAAGTATTCATCTGACAACTCTTCTGGCAGCAAAAAGCAAGGGCTTAAATTACCTATGGGTACCTCTGAAAGCTGTAATGATTCTGGCACTTTGCCTAGAAACTTCAGAAACCAAATATCTTCATCTGGATCCTGTTCATGAGAAACCCTTTTCCCATTCCCCCTGCATCCTGCAAGAGCCAAATCCAATATTTTAAAACAGAGCTCTGGGGACACATTGTAGGAGTGAGCCCAAGACAATAAATTTAGAATCACAGACCTGCCCTAGAGTTCTAGACAAAGGCAATAAAGTCACTCTGACTTGGATCAACACAGCACCACAGTTTTGACAGCTGAGCAGCTCAACAGAAATCTGTGAGCAGCACAGGAATGGCCAAGTAGCAAATACTGCACCTCCAGACTCTGAGGAGCTGTCAGTTGTTACCCAAGACATTCTGAAGATGTTTTCTCATTTTTTTACAGCATAAGGGAAAAAAAAACCCACAGTAATGACACACAACATTAGTTCTTTAAACCCTCAATTTCTATTACATTTAAATTCCTCCTATAGGAAGGAATAAAGAAGAGAGCCACAGGAGGTCCTCGTGGACAGAAGGACATTGCTGTCTGTGATGGCTGGTTACCTTATTTACTAATTACTCCTCTATTCAAATGAGGGCAATATTATAATACACTCCTTATTAATTCTATTTAAAATTTCCCTTTGCCCTCGAAGAACAGGTTAGATTTAGCTGCTAATTGGTTCTCATGCCCCTGATGAGACTCAAAAAGGGGGCCACGGATCAGCCCAGACATGTTCCTACTCTTGCAAAAGGGGTCAGCTGATTCCACAGTCAGTTTGCTTTGCACAGTGCACAAGAAGCCAGTCTTTCCCAAATTACTCAGACAACTTCTTCTCTCCCCAAGGTACATTTAAAAGCAAAACAAATGCTTAATAAAGAACAAAGTAGTAGAGATAAAGTTAGCAGGTGAGACCCGTTTTACCGTATAACACACTTGGCACACACCTTCTAGGAGAACATCCTTACTTGCAAAAGAGAGAACTAAAATATTTTTTTCCCTTGTTAAGAATAAATATTCCCAAAAATCAGGTCAGTTATTTTGGTGACAGACCAGTTTTACGGATAGCTGGGAACTATGTGGTTGAATAGGAAGAAAGGAACAATAAACCCAGGCTTTTTTATTCCACCCAAAAAGGCTCTATTCAGCAGTTGGGAGCTACTACAACCCTGCCCTGACCTTGGGACGGATTTTCTGGCTCTGTTCTCCCCTGCACAGCAAAAACCCAGACCTGGAGCAGAAATCTTCCAGTAGCTGCCTCTGTCTGGCTGTTTGCAGGGAGTGCAGCACACTGAGGTCACAGAACTCATTATTTCATCTCTTCCTCCTTTTTTAGGTCACACTGATTCAATTGCAGCCTTATAAAAGGTCTATTTTAACTCTTTCCAGCTTGCTAGGATTTTATTCTCTTTACCTAGTTCTTTCTACCTGGAATCCTGCTTCCAGCACACAGGAAAAGGTATCTGAGTTTGCTACCTCACTTTAAACCACACCAGGTAAACAACACTATTCACCAGGATAACATGCCCTGACTTCTTCCAAAAAAATAACACAGAGGTTTTATGCCAAGGGCTTTGAATACATCATAAGTATTTGGAGTTCTAGTGCCTGTGATATTCTTTCACTAGACATTCAAAAACAAACTGAATGCTCTACATCTTTCTAGTACAGGAAGTTTAAATTTCCTGTTTGCTGTGAATGCAAACCACTGTATATTTTTAAATTCTCCTCTAGCTTTTTTTTCTTCAGCAAAGAAAACACAGAAACTTTTCTTTTTTGCTTAAGCATGTCACAAATAGAGGCATGTGTGGACTAAAATAGAGGCATTATTACTGATTCAGCAAAATCCTAACTTTCCTGAGTCAGAGGGTACATGTGTCTATACTGATCACAAGTCAAATACTGTTTTATGATCTTTGGACGGATTAAACAGAAAATGACAATTCCTGTACTAACTGCATTAGGATTCCAGAGGCAACAGCAACACATTCAAAACTTTTCAAAGATTTCTTCACTTATTCCTGTTCTGAAAACCTTAAATCTTTGGATTGCTCCTTATGATTCTTATGCAGGATTACAAAGCCCAGAACAGAAGAAACCATTATGACAGAAATTATCCCAACAATCCTTTACCTGAAAGGCTCAAGCAAATCTTCCAAGAGACATAACACGCAAGTTGTTGCCTAAAAAAGTGTGAAGTTACATTTAACTTAACAGAAGACTAAGTATCATACAACAGTTCAGTCTCTGGGAATGAATAATTAGTACTTAGCAATCATGACAAACTTCTAACAATCAGAAGCTAAAATATTTCCCGTGAGATGTCTTGCTCTGTTTTTAAAGTAAGTATTTCCAGAAACTCTAGAGATGGGCAGCTTTCTCTAACAGGAGACACAGAGCAACAGGAACAAGAATGTTTTACTTTTGTGCTGCCTAGGACAGAAAGGAGACAGCAGCCAGTAGGATTATCTTACATGTAAAAGGTAATATAAGCATTAAAATAAACTGTTCTAAAATTCAGTTCTCTAAGAGATGGGTTACCTGGATAGTTCTGTTGCCTTTTTGGGGAGGGAGATGGTCTATCACAAGGATCCATTATCATCTAAGGATTAGTCCCCCAAATCCAGAAGGGAAGAGACCTACTTCCATAGCTGCAGGTAGGGTATTTCTTTAAAGTCCATTCCAAGTAGATTATGTGCATTGTAAGACATGCAGAGCAACCACTACTGAACTTCCAGAGTCTTTAGTGCCACTCTTACTGTCAGAGACACAGCAAGGATGGCACAGGAGCACGGGCTGTCAGCTCTTTATTCCTGACTGCCTGGACTTTGCTGTTCTCTGGTATTTGAGTGTGCCTGTAACTACCTCATGGTAGAAAAGCCACTGACCACTCTGAATCTTAAGACTCTACAAGCTGACCAGTATTTTCAGCTACTCTTCCATATTTTTGCTGTGAGCAGCTGAGCCCCGGGAGCTGAATATACCTGTCAGAACTGCTGGACACAAAGCCCTGCTGAGCCCACCCCGGGGCTAAAGAGCCTCTGTGCTGTAAAATAAACACTCTCCAGCCAGATATATGCCAAAAGGATACAAGCAACACAGCCCATACTGAAAGATGCTGTCAGGTTTAATGTCACAGTAGAAGTTAGCATAGGAGAATAAACCCATTTAGACCCCTCATTACAATTTCCTCTCATTCCAGCCTGAAAAGATGCACCTTCTTCTGCACTAGAGACACCATTAGGCAAAGCTGTGGCTGCAGTACAAGACAAACTCAAGTTGTGAAAAATTGGTAGGTCAGTTTATTAAAATAAATGCTCGAGCTACTTTACCCATTTTCATGGCTTCCTGAAACACTGCCTGCATTTTCATCCTGTGGCTGTTTGGTGAGAGTCTCTCCACTGTTAGGCATCCTGACAAAGCCTCCAAGGCTGGGCACAAATATGCTAAAGGACTGTGCGGGTCAGGCAGAAATAAACTACTTGGACAACTGAAGAAACCAACAGTGACGGGTTATTTGTTAAAAAACCCACCACGTAACACAAGAGGAGGAGACTGCAGCCACAAAAGCTGTTTCTTTCTGATTTTAACATGCTTGAAATGTCGCAGTGCCTGTGAGCTGCTTACTGTTAAACTTTCCTTTTAATTCAGTTTTCTTTAATCATCCATGAGAAGAATTTTAATGAGCCTACAATGCTTCAAGATGCAAATCTTTTCTTTTGCCAAGATTTCCGACAACTTCGTTCACGGAGGTTGAAGCAATTCTAAATTTATTAACTCTAGTTTCGAAAAAGGACGTTCAGTGAAGCTATTTTCTTAAAGAAAATGCAGATTAATTACATTAGGAAATGCCTTCAAGTCAATTATACCTATGAAGCCCAGCACTGCAACAGCCAAGCCCCTCCTCCAGCATCACAACTACACCAGCACTTCCTCGGCTTCACCAGGCCAGGCCTGTCCTGTAATGTGGAATTTTCTACACATGACTGAACAAATTACTGCCCAGGATGTAAGAAAGTCTGGTGCAGCTACTTAGGCCACTGCTACACTAGTCAACAGAACAAGATCCAGAGAATGGCTCAAGCCACCCACTGTGAGCACCTTCCCTGGGATGGTTTGGTCTGTGTGCAGTGGAATTTCCCTGAGCCAGGGGATAACCTGGAGATGGTGTTAATGGTTACCCTGTCTGGAGAGGAGGAGGGATGTGAGCCATGCTGTGCCATAGCCTTCAGAGCCAGAGAACATCATCTGGAATGTTTAATTTACAGTTCAAACACAGCCACAGCGATTAGGAGTATCTAAGACTAGTAAATGTTAACTTTATACAAAGATGTGGATTTTATTCCAGAGTATCTTACACCATATCCAGATATGTGATTGTAGACAATGCAATTTGTAGTGAAAAGAAAGAGAACTTTGCAGTGAGATCTAAGGGGTCTATTCTCACAGCAGAAACTTGCTTTGAAATAACCCAAACACAGAACAGGGGATATTTCAATGGTAAAAATGCGTCATCTCATGCAGCAAAAATTCATTTTTGTCAGGATTGATTTAATTCCTTCAATTTGGGATAATCCTCCAAGCTCTGACTTTGTTCCGATGATTCTTTGCAGGAAGCTGCCTCAGGTATCTTCCTTGGGCTTGCAACCAAATTTGCAGTAATATAATAAAACTGTTGCAAGAAAACTAATTTTTTTTATTCTTCTGATAATCTAAAATGTTTTACATGCTATATGAAGGAATCCAGTTAGACAACTGCTCGTTACCTTGCTTGGGTTGCACGTTGGGTGTTGAGTGGCCAGGTAGTAAGCTGGTCTCATGGCTAAAGCTTGTACTTTCAGCAAATCAACAGAAAACCTCAAATATACATATCTTCTACACACACTGTGTTTAGAGAGGATTTTTTTGTTTTATCTTGATTTTCCTATAATCTTCCTTAAACTTACTGTTGGTATTTTGACACAATCAAGGATTCCTCAATGATAAATCACTTCCTCCATAACAAGGGTAGTTGCAGGGCTGGCAAGTGGGGAAGCAAGGGGGATTTACTGGGGGGAACTGGTGGAGAAGAGTTGCTTTTGGACTCTGTATCATGTGACTGTAACAGAAAACTCACGACTGTGACAAACTGTAGGTTTCCAGCTACAAATACTCCTGTCCCTTGAACAATAGGCTCAAGCTGTAAGAAACAGTTCTACACAAAATCTGCCTTTGTAGTTCTGGTACATTCCTAGGCACTCTTCAAGTTTCAAGAAATAAATCCTAATGAATGAGGCTGGCAACTTGTGTAGAACTCAGCAGGAAAGGCCTTCACCTCAAATCATTTTTCCATGCCGCAGCTTACACGGTGCTCTGATCCTTTTCCTTTCTGCCTAGACCTACCTGCACACGAGCTGCATAAGACTGAATTTTTGTGGTGGGCTGGGCTGCTTTTTGCAGCCACAGGTCAAGATTTCTGGGCATTGCCAGGCACACGAAGCTGTGAAGGACCAGAAGAGGCAAACGGAGCTCCTGCACGGTTCACATCCTCTGCTCTGCAGTTACCATCGGTCTCTCTCGCAAATTTGCAAGCGATACCTCAGAGTTGAAGACCCCGTCCCCACAAACTTGCACCGTCACAAGATCCCCCACAGAACTACTAGAGGGGCCCAAACAAAGCCACGTTGTTACCACGGTCAGCGAGCAGCCCCGGCGTGGGTGGAGCGTGGCTGGGACAGGATGTTTCAGGTTTAATTCACAAACGCCGCTATGGCAACACGACACTCCCCGAGCTCTGCACTCCCCCAGCTACTTACCTGGGAGGCAAGAATGGGAATGTGGATGTTTCACCATAAAACCTGTATTTCTTTAAAATGAATGCAGGAGTTCCCTAATTCTGGATGCTCCTTGCTGTTCATCCCAGTCAGTTTAAGCAACCGTGTGATAGCCCCCCCCCCTCCTTTTTTTTTAAGTCGTGTAACTGGTAACAAATATCTTAGTGTAAAACAATGCTTTTTGGAACAAACATGATATCATGATATTAAACTGGCAGTCCCACTGTTATTCCAGCCTTCCAGCACTGAGTCTAGAAAACCAAACCCTCACCCCACGACAGCCACCAGCAAAACATCTATATAACCTTTACCTTTCCTATTTCAAAGGCTTTGTTACATTGCTTTATAAAATGGCACCACTTCTAATCTTTCTTTCATTATTTTCAATCAGTTCTCTTAGAGCCTGGCAGCTTTTCAACTTGCTACTAATTGCAGCCCTCTGCCTGCTACGTTCCTCAAAGGCTCTTAACTGCATTTACTGTGATTATTTACAGCTTTCTCACACAATACACTCACAGAGCTTTCTTTTTCCCAGTTTCTCATAAAATTAAGGATTTAATCTGGCCGCTAAAACACTGTAGCTAAAATAAAAACAAAATTAGCTCCACAGTTACTGTTAAATGAGACTAGGTTTCAGGGTTTATGAAAACTACTAAATCCAAACGTGTCTTCCAGCACTACTGTGGCAAAGCCTCCATTTAAATCTTACTAAACAAGTGAGTCTCAACCCACACCTTAAAGACCAACCAATTTACACTGCTTTGGGCCAAGGATATGATGCTGAGGGCAGATTCCACAATGAAAAGTTCCAGGCAAGCAACATCTTTTTAAATTCACATATGTTTTTTTACACTAATTCATTTCTAATTCAGATTAGAGAAAGGAGAATTTTTCCCCCTACCTGGGTCTCCCCACACTTGCAGAACTCTAGAGAATTTATCCATACTCAAATCAGCATCCATAGGCAAAACAGAACTGCCTTGTGTCCCTTCATCAGGTGAAGCAGTTTATCCCACAAAACCCTCTGCTCCCCACAAGCACAGCCAGCTGAATGTATTCATATTTCACCAAATTCCCACCAGCAACCTCCCTGTAAAAGTGTTTTCTCTCATTGACCACACCACAGCAACAGGATTTTCATTTTGCTTTTCTGGACAATGTATTCTGCTTTCTAGGGAATTGTTCCCCAGAAATACAGAGAATAAGACAGTAGTTGGTGCAAAGCTTCTGGAGTCTGAGTGCCAGTAAAAAATACCTCAGGTTTGCCTGTAACTCCCAATTTGTACTAACTAAGGAAGAGGCTTCTGGGGAGGGGGGAAAGTAGCTGAAAATGCACATCTGGAGAAAGAGGCAGCTGTTTCTGAGCAACTGGAGAGAGGCAGAACATCCTATCAGGTCAAAACAACAGGCACATCCAGAAACTATTTTGCTCCTTCTTTCTGAGGAAAAGATTGGTTTAGACTCAAAGTAAGTAGCTGCATTTTCACATTTACCTATAGGTGTTCTTTTATCCTGCCATATTCGCAGTCAAATTTTCTACAGGCCCAAACCACTTAGAGATGCCCAGCCTCTAACCAATAAAAACTGCATTATGAAAACAGGTCTTTCTTACTCTTTCTGCATTACTAGCAATTAAAATTAATTACTACAGATTGACGCAAATTTTAATTAAATCTGCCTCAGAAAAATCCTCTAAAGATGCTACTCACTCACTGTACACTGCCTTGAAATAGCTCAAAGCAAATGCCATCATCTAAATTTTATTGCAGATACAGATCTTTTACTCTCCATCTACAGCAAAACGATTTTCCCAAGGAATTTCTGTGTAAAACATCCCTTTCAGATATTAATTCTGGGTCCAGTACTGTTAAAGGGCCATTACATGGAACTGTTATACTTGACTTTTTAAAGTACATTTTTAATAAGACTAAATATGATAGGTTAAAAATATTATTCCAAGAGTGTTTTCCTAACAGCTTTGTAGAAATTGTGATACCTGTTCAGGTTTGGATGCTTGAAAGAATCCAGCTCAACACTAAGGAAAGTCTGCTGTGATTCTATTTTCACCTTCCTGAGGAACTACTGAAGCTCTTTACACAAATTTAGTGTGACTGAACAGACACAAGTTTCCAGCCCTCAGATTTCTGATTTTTTTTTCCAGGTGTTTATAATAAAAGTTATTCTTGGCACTTCCTTACAAAAATCAAGGGAGCTGCAAGAAGCTGCAATTCAGCAGATTGTCCTCTTACCTGTGTCTCCAGGATGCTGCTTTCAACAATAAGGAGAAATGGTAATAGGGCCAGATAAAAGACAAGAGATGCAAACAAGTAGATTCTGGGAGTATTTGATATAGCAGAGATTAAAAGATAAATGTATAATTTGTGTAGCATATAAAGATGCCGCATGCTCCCAAGGTCAGGGGGGAGGCAGTGGTTTAACTCTTGTTTTGTGCAAACAGAACCCAGCAGCAGATCTAATTATTCCCCTTTTCCAGGCCAGTCCTGCCTCCTTGCAGAGCACAGAAATTCTCTGCTTGTTTTCCTGCTTACACCTACCCACAAATTTGACGCCGGGCAATAAAAAGTGACACGGCGACGGATGTTACATGTGGCAGGAGGGAAAGAAAGGGAAAGAGCAGTGAAAGAAATCAGCTGTTCATCTGAAAAGTAGGTAAGCAA